AGTTGAAAAGTTAAAAAATGGATATGATATTTTGAAAAATGGACAGAAACTTCACTTCAGCTGTTGTAGGAGGTATTAAAATACAGGATGAAATATTAGGCACTAGTCTCAAAACCCCGTCTTCTCAGTATATGTATTTGGGTGGTCGGGTGGTGCAGGGTCTAGCGCACTTGCCTTTCACTAAGGTGGGCGGGGTTCGATTCCCCGATCGGACGTAAAAAGGTATGGGGTCACCTGCCCGAACACGTGGGTTTTATCCGGGTACTCCGGTTTCCTACCCCACTAAGACCCCCTTAGCGCTAACATCCGGGCAAACAAGAGTGATTAATATAAGTTGTAAAAAACTTGTTTCATAATTGTTGTAAAATAAATAAGGTTTAATGTTGTAATACAAAGGTTTGTAAATGGTTTTACTTCCGTACATTAACATGACTTAAAAGTACTTACCATATATAGGTCCAGGTGAAAATAGACTCCCCTCTGTTTTGACACATCCTTGGAATGGGTCTTCATCCTCACTTTTACATTCATCTTCGTATGTCCTTCAATAAATCTTTGTTTTCACTGAAAACAGATGTTATAGAAATTAAAGCTTACTGAATATGCATACGATTAGAGAGGCAAGCATACAATTAGTCTTAGTGAAATCACTCTATGATCAGTTTAAAAATTTGATGTACAGTAGGAATTTAAGGTTTGAAATTCATCTTTTAAAAATGTAAAGGGTATGCAACACAGTTCCGTTCAAACATATTCCATGATGCGCGTTAGCCCATTTTTGAGAATATGTTTGAACGGAACTCAAACCTTGTTTTTACGTTCCATTACATTAACATTCATTATTTAAAATCAGAAAACTCAAGTTTTTCACGTAAAAAAATACGTCGTCCTAAAAACAAGTTTGATTGAACAGAATTTTTCGCGGAAAAGATGATGCGTTGTCAGTGGTGACGAAATAGTTTACTTTACATACATTTACCAGCATGTTTTAAACAATGTTTAAAAGCATTGATTTTCTTTAAAATTGACTACAGATTTTAATTTGAAACAAAAATAACCTGAAAAATATGTCGCAAATGTAGCTGACCAATAAACAACGGTTGTGCAGCGGCTTAGCTCATCAGGATACGATGCGGTTGGAATGTCAACGAGCTGGGTAAATGGGAATTGTGTAACAAACATTACGATTTAAAAAACGCTGTTGACTGAATTCTTGTATCGACCAACTGTGATAACGAGGCTAACTCTTTGTTCGAGCATTCGACAAGTGTTAGTGTTACTGTCGCTGAGGGGACTGGCCGACGAGCCGGCATGTGTAAGTGTTACTGTCGCTGAGGGGACTGGCCGACGGGCCGGGATGTGTTAGTGTTACTGTCGCTGAGGGGACTGGCCGACGGGCCGGGATGTGTTAGTGTTACTGTCGCTGAGGGGACTGGACGACGAGCCGGCATGTGTAAGTGTTACTGTCGCTGAGGGGACTGGCCGACGAGCCGGGATGTGTATGTGTTACTGTCGCTGAGGGGACTGGCCGACGAGCCGGGATGAATTGACCTGCTTCACCATTTCCATCGGACGCTAGTGTAGAGGACAGCGTTTTTTTCTGTTCTGTTGAAAATGAAATGTTATAGGATCTAATAGCAGACTCACTTCAGTGGCCCGACATAAACATGGCATGCCTTGATTTAAAACCAGTCATACATCGCTTGTTTTGCACATTGTGGATTATTTTTCAGCACCCTTATTTACTTAACACTGTGATTTCTTGTTGATCTGTTCATAGTTGTTAACACAGATTAAAAACAATATAAAAAAATATATTTTCATTCTTTAAAATTCTAAACCGTTTAGCAAAACAAATCTCAGGGTTTTTTTTGGTGGGGGAGGAGGGGGGGGGGTGACTGTTGTGTTTATATAGTGAGGTCAGAGGTCATATAACGGTACATGTTGTACTGTTAATATTACATTGTACTACACACTTCCTTTTATTGAATAATAAAACATTTTGAGATGGTACTGTTATCTAGACGGACAGCAACACAATTTTAAATATAAGGACGTATATAATTTGTTTGAGTAATTGACAGGTCTATAAAAACCAATCCCCGCGGTACAAACACATGAAAAACTGTTGTAATTGGGATAATTTACAGTCAAGACAAGATACCATTACAATATCTTACAAAAAAACACGCTCACATGCATAAACAATATAGCTTTCAATATGCAAAGGGCAATAACTCGTCAGATTCAAACTAACACATCTTTTTCGCTAGAAAGCCGTCAAATATGTTAAAATCTTAAATAACTGCGTCCAAAGAAATAGTTATCATGTGGTTAAGAAATGTTGCTAGTAGATACTCAAAAATATTAAAATTATTTTGAATGTTTAAGTTTTGATATGCTATCAATTGAATAAATTAACAAACAAACAAAAACAAAGCAAAATAATAACAAAATCCTTGTGAAGAAAATGCTGTTGTGTTTAATGTAATTTTCGCAGCCCAAATATAGACTGTAGATTATGTAATATACATATTTTTACCACTTCTTCGATGTAACGACTCTTCTCATTGTTAAGCACCATGTACACGTATCACTCTCCAGCAGACCAGCGCTCTTCTAAAAGCCTCCCCCTTAAATGTAAACAAGCGAACCGCGTGTCTGGTTTTCTTTGTGGAACGAGAGTATACGCGTTTAATTTTGTATGCATTTTAAGGTTTGTAAGTGGACATATTCAACCTCCTCTTAAAACTGTCAAGCTGACAGTAAGTATGTACCACTGAACATAACATAGCGCAAAAGTGACTTGCAAAAGTGTGTGTAAATCTGTAAAATGCTGATTTCATGTGTTGACGAGCGATCCCGATAAACTGATGTATTTGATTGATTAAAATAAACATTTGGTATAAAACATGACGTCAGCGATACTCTTTGATCGTCTGTCGACCAAATGGCGACTGAAACTGACACTTTCCCGCGATATATCCCTCCAGGATGCATGTTCAAAATAGGACAATGCTCACAGAATTAGTAATGATAAAACGCGATGTAGACATATATTAATCACGTGACAAACGTTAGCGGTCTAAAGAGAAGGGCCTAATTTAATTAATTAGACTATATAGGTCACCTTTCTAATAATACAATTACTTATCCTTGGCATTGAAGTCTTGGCTTCCAGCTCCATCTCAAAAATGTGCTTTATCTTCATCTTAACAAACAACAATACACATGTAGTTGTGATGATCATCGGTAGTATCAACTTAATGTCGACGTAGCCAGATAATTGTCATGATATATTCACTAAATTATCATAGTAGCGATAATTACCCTTAAGTCGAATTGGTTATCATGAAAAGTAGATCTAGCGAGATAGTTTTAGCGAAATAATTATCTCGAATTAAATCAATCTGTGGCAGGAAAATGTTACCATATGATAACTTTCATAAATGTTATGCAAGATGTGAGTTTTTGTTTCTCAGAAATTGTCATGCCGAAGCCCCCAATTCATCATTGGCAGTGGAACCGAGATCGTAAAAGGAAAGCTAAATAGAAAATATTGGTAGTACATATAACAAATATTAATTTTAAGTTAACCGGGATACCACTATTTAATACTGTTTCCTATTCCCTTTTAAGTAAAGATAATTTAGTTTAAACATATTTTATTTCCAAAAAAATGCAAAAGGATTGGGCACATGGCCATTATTAACGCCCTTTCCTAATAAGATAAATAATTATATACACATCATAAGATGGCTTTCATATTTCATAGTTTGAATTACTACAGCCAGCACAGTGATAACCTGGCACTATTCCATACTTTCAGCTATTCATCGAATCGTCACATCCCGTGCTTAGTGGCTTTTTTCTTTTCAGTAAAGATAATGCAGGATAGGTGAGACATTTCAATTGATATGCTTTAAACATTGTTTTAAAAAACATGATGAATGGTTCTCCATACAAAAACAAAACAAAAACAAGAACCAAAAAAGCATACGCAGTTTCCAATAACATTTATTTTTAACTAGTCAAAGTCATTGTAAAGGAAATATACTGTTTTTGATTTAATTTAATTTGAAAGTATTTAATTCAAATTAATATGAATTCTATATCACGTATTTCATGTGAGAGAATCAATTTAAGTTATCAAGTACATACACACTAAGCATTTTTTTCTATTACATCTGAATTTAAAACTTGCTCATTTTAATCCCACCGATTGAAATTTACTATTACAAATACGTATTCTTTATTTCTAATCGTCAATGTTTCAAAAAAGCAATCAGTTAAACTATTAGTGAATAATAAGACACACACGTGCACCTCCTCACATGTAATGTGATTCAACGCTTGCGTTTGTATTGGGAACGGAAACAAGACATCCTTCATTTGTTTCGTCAAAACCAACAATTTTTCTCCAGATGTCTCATTGTTCATTGTCCATATACGTTCGTATTACGGACTGAAAAACAGTTTTGCCAGGGACCCGAGAACCAGAAATGGAGTAAACAGCAATTTGGGTGATCCGCTCTTAGGAGCTGAAAAATGAAAGCAACAAAACGTTTGTAAACAACTGAAACAACGTTTTATCAAATATTTCCTGTTAGATACCTGTTGTATCAATATTTTGTTATCTCTGTCCGGAGACTCTCATAGAGTGTAAACCTAAAGTTGTCTGTGCTCCACATACTTTAGTCTCGCTAGAATTGCCCCCCTTGCTGTGTGGTATAACTAACGACCTTACTCTTGCGTATTAGTGCACATCTTGAACAAGTTGCTCTACCAGACTCTTGTTGTATGAGGACGCTACGCCGAATTACAAGTGATCAAGCGCCTGGTTGAACGAGACTAACCTCGAACTTAAGGAGTTTCCACCCTTCGTAATACACATGTTTTTCTCGTCGTATTTTCGTGTCGTCATTTCCGTAGTGCGTATCGGGCGTATCCATAACATAGCGTAAACTGTACTAACACCGCCAAATGGAACTCTTCTGCGCGGGAGGGTAAAAACAAATACATTCATTTGGTGGCAATGTCAACAAACCGTTGTCAAGACGAAGCCGGAAGATTTGCTTTCAGCCAACGCAACACAGATCAAGTGTACCATGATCACACTCACTGTGAAAGCAAAGCTAGTGATGGTAGGGCAGATATTGACTCGTGGGAAGATAGTGACACGGACCCAGAAAATCATGAGTCGTCAGACTCCGACCCTGTGTCGTCCGTGTCAGCATCAACACTGGAGTCCGGCAATATCAGTTGGTAGGAGGCGCGACGTGTGGTGGAATTTGTTGTTTTGGCCGATGGTTTGGAAAAAAAGTTGTCCATGGTGCCACTCCCGTTTAAGACTTGGGGCTTGTGTAGCAGAAAAACATTACGGTTTTGGTAGCCTGCTGTATATCAAGTGTGACTCGTGTGGTAAAACGACGGCATTACCATCAGGCAAACGGCACCACAGCAGTACATGGGATGTTAACACAAAACTTGGATCAGGTACATAATTGATAATAATCAATAATTGATTAGGTTGGATTCCTACACATACATAATATATTGCTACTATAACAGTGATCAGAAAATGACAACTAGAGTTTATGTGTATAAATTATACAGTGATGTACAGTTTCATATTGCAATACTACCCTGCAAAACTACCTGTATTTTAATATTTGTTGTGTTTCTAAAACCCAAATAATTATCACGAGTCTATATGTATACAAAGGATATAAAAAAGTTACATACATGTATACGATTGCATGATGTAACAAGACTTTACTTTGTTTTCAGCAATGCCTCACGTTGGTCTTGGTGAAAGTGATGTAAATGGTGTCCTTGCCACCCTAAATATCCCAGGTATAACACCTAGAAATCTTAAAAAGAGAGAACGAGAAGCTGGAGATTCCATTGAGACAGTGGCAACAGCAACATGTGACAAGGCAATTGTAGATGAACGAGCAAGTTGCGACAGGTAATAAATATATACAGATATGATAAATTTTTATGTTTGTTCTTCGCATTATTCATCTAGCTGATGGTTTCCATGGTTGTCATAGATAAATTAACAACAAACATCCATCAACTCCAAACAGTTACATGCACACCTTCAATATATATCAGTCTCCAATTTAACCATGATAGTATAGTTTCAATAAATATTACTTTTTACCATTGCATTTAGTCATTTAACGAAAAATATGGATTATTTCATATTGTATGATTTTTGTTTTCAGCAATTCCAAACAAAAATCAGTATCATATGATGCAGGATGGCAGACAAGGTCAAGTGGACACAGATATGCCAGTCTTTCCGGTAAGTCATTAGGTCAGAAGATGAAATGGATGTGTTGTTCAATGTGTGATTGATATATTGAGGCCATATACAGAAGTTTTCAGTTTTTATTGGTGTAGAAAATCAGGTTCTCTGTGTTTGTAAACAATTTTGGGGTCTGTACTTGAATGTTGAAGTTACAATGTCATACATTGATAATTGTATAAATATCAATTTTAATTTACATACATTTCTAACCTTGAAATAGAAACTCAAGGAATGGTTTTCAAAGATTGGCCCTAAACCTGTGTTGGTTTGCCATAACGGTAAAGCATTTGATGCTATTGTGATGTGTCGTGCTGTGCAGCAACACTTACAGAGGGTTAAAAGACGTTATAAGTGGTTTTGTTGACACTTTGCCTCTCTTCAAAGATGTATTACCAGGTCAAGTAACATACAAATTGGAAAGTTTGTTGCTTAGTGTATTACAAACTCAATACAATGCTCATGGTACATTGGAAGATGTGTTGGCTTTGCAAAAACTTGTTATACGTCTGAATGTACCAAACTCTAAAATGTTGACTTACAGTTTCAGTACAAATCACATGTTTGAAAATTTGAAGTATAAGAGTTTAACTGAAAAGTGTATGTCAACATTGCATTCTCTGTCTAATTGTATCACAGATTACATGATGTCAAAGATAGCTAGTTCAGGTTTGAGCTATGATAACTTGAAGTTGGGTTTTGAAAGGGGTGGCAAATAAGGATTGTCAAAATTATTGAAAGAAAAAAACAACACTTCAAAGGCAAGAGTGACAAGTGACAAAAAAATACTGAAAAACTTGTCAGTCACTTCCAAAGGTAGAGTTTGAACTATTGCCATGCAACGCACTAGGAATCAACAAAACCTACTGTGAACTGTACATACTGGGTCTGCCAAATCATTATTATTATTATTATTATTATTATTATATTGAACAATTATTGAAGCTGTGACCTTTACCTGCAAAGCAATTCTGTGATATTTTTTGTTTAAATTGTGTTTCGTAAATTTCAAACGTGATATAACTATACATAACTCCTTTATATGTTAATCTGTGATTTTTTGCCATATAATTGTATTGCTATTGTGTGTGAAAATGACGTTGTAAGACATGGGCTTGGAAAATTGTTTATTTTTTGTGAGTAAAGAAATAGTTTCTCTTTATCAACACATATTTGTTCATAATATCTACTTTTCTTCCATCTCTCTAAATTAGATAATACATTATGCATTATAGTACAGGAAATAATGCTGATAACAAGGAAATTATTATTTAATATTTATTCTAAAGTTATGGATAGGTGTTTGAATTGGGCAAGATGCAATTATGTAGTATTTTTTCTTGTTCATATACATGCAGTGAGATGTGAAACACATGCAAATCAATATGTTTTTAAATACTCTCCCTATCTGTCAAAGTTTTGTCTGTGCATCTGTCTGTCTTTGTTATGTGTATTCGTCATTGTCCTTTTTCCTGATGTATTTATGTATTATTTCATGTACAAGAACAATTTATAGGTGTACAATTAAATTGTGAAAGTATGAAAAGAGTGTACATGTAAGTAAAATGAAGTATGTTCAATTTTTACTACTTGCATGATATTATATAAATGTGTAGTTTGAATTGAAAAAAAAAACATCTGAAAAATACAATGTACTGCATGTATTATGAAAATGTTACCCCCTGTCAAAAGTTCCTGTTTTTTTAAGGGAGGTAACTCCCACTTTCATAAAAAATAAATGTAAAATATGCATAAATGACATAAAAACCTATTGTCCTAAATTTTTTTTCAATTCTTTTTACATGAAACTATGCATTTTGTTTGTTTTTTGCCTTAAAATGGTCACATTTATCCATACAATTTCAACTAAAAGCACTTTGTGTAATTTGTGATAAATAAAATATTTGTTGACTAAATAAGCAAACCTTGTATACATTTTGTAAATGCTGTAATGGTTCTGAACAACATAAAACCAAAAGAATATCAAAAAAATGCAAATTGGGATACAATCATTTTTTTGGTATTTTTTCCAAAAAAAAAAACCGATGGACTTCTTAGAAAGCTTAGATTTTCCCAAAATTAGTTCTACATGGTTGCATAACCATTATGTTTAAGTTTCAAGAAATGCTAATAGTTTATTACGAAATGGTGGAGCCTCCTTAATCTTTAAGCATGTTAAAATCAAAATCTTTTTCGTTTAAACCTATATCATCAACTTCAATATACTCTCGCAGTATCTTACATGGACAAGGTTCTGTGACCCCTTCTGTGACCCCTTCTGTGATCCCTTCTGCTCCTATGTTACCCTTCCTGTACTGATCTGTTGATCTGTCTTACTTTTTGATATATTATTCCAAATGCCCCTCTGTAAAATTAACATCTGTACCTCTCACGTTGCTCACCTCATTGAACCTTAAAAAACCTGCAAAAAACAATGTAACTAGGATATATCCCTAAGCACAAGTAAATCTCTCGAACTGTCATACTTCTAACATAAAAGTGATATTCTCTGTAGAAAAAATGTCTTCCTTCTTAACTGGTACACTGTTCTGTCTCTTGGCTGACTTTTGAAAATCTCTCGCCCTATATAATTTACTCTAAAGCGCTTAACAACATATAGATAATAGTATTAGTGATATAATTGTAAAACATAAAACGCTTACAACCACCATTATACAGTAAGCAAGAAGATACTCATCGCAATGTGCACAAAAATGAAAAACTAAAGGGTGGTATTCACGTGGACACACAACAATGATTCTACAGGGCAACACGCACCTGTAGGTACTTGGGGTCTGTTCCATTCAGTGCCTTGTACATATACTCTCCGCCAGGTTCCTTTTGTTCCCAGTCAGTCACCCCCCTTTTGACAATGCAGCCTGTGTAGCCTCCTGGATCCCTAGGCCGTTTTACAAATCAGTCTTGGAGCAGGAATCCAAAGACTCTCTCCAGGGCCCCGTGGCTGTTCAAAAGCACCAACCCACTTGTACCGGGTACCCACCACCTTGAATTAAAACATACACATTTGGTATTCAAATGTTTTTCAAACCTGTCACACGTGTGAGTTCCCCATATTGCCTCTAGCAACCTAAATGTGCGATCCTCTATGCACTAATCGTCACTGTAACAATTAAAGGCGATATTGTACATATTAAATTTCTTGTTTGTTAAGGAAGTACTCTTCTGAGGTTTAAATCACGTTTTAAGTCTCGTTTTGTTCTGGTGTAACGGGTTTTGTAATATTTAACAAATTATGATCAAGTTTAATAGCAAACACACATCCGACAAATATGTCAAAAAACTAGATGCCTGTTGTTTGTAGAACCTGATTTACAAGAATTAAAAAAATGACCAATTCGGCGGCCATTTTGAAAATGTGTTTTAAGGTGTATTTCTTGCACTTCCCAAAAGACCAAAATTTCACCTTTTTTACTCTACTTTTGCGGTACAACTTTATAATGTTCAATATGATAAAAATAATATGCAACAAAGTGGAAAATGTTACATAATTGGTATTTTTTTACATATATTCTGTAACTAAAGCACTTTTGATTTTCGACCCCGAAAAAGGTGAAAATTACACAAATAATAATGGGACAAAAAAGAAACACACGGACCCTCCATTTTTTTGGCAGTTTCAGAAGGAGAAACGCATTTTCTTTTGATTCATTAAATATTACGTTTAATAGCACAACTTTTTGTAGCATGCGTTTAATCTGCAAAAAAATAAGGGGAAGGGGTAACTTAAATCGCCTTTCTACAAACATTCATATATATCTGATAGCACACTTGGAAGAAATTGTATGATCTTGTTCTGCAAATGGTCAAAACCAACAAAAATAAACCTAAAATCACATATTGTGGTAAATTGGTATCTTTGACCGATCTTTTTTTTTTTTTTTTGGCTTCTCAGAGGTGTACATCCTTAACACTGTAGAAACTTTGAGTGAAGGAGGTTTGGTGAATGAAATCGGGGGTAGAATGGTGGAGAGGTGGATTGGTGGAGAACCGAGGGCCCTTCAACCATGACAATTCTACCGTTTTATGCCTATTTGTAGATAAATCTATTAACTCTTGCTGAAAAAACAAAATAATCAAAATTAAGCTAATCAATTTATCAATATTTCGAATATTTGATTTTTCATTTAAAATGTATAACAGACCATTTGAGATATTTTGTTAAAACACGAGAACTTTTATCTCGCTAAACCATTGGTCACATTATAATTCCACACAACAGTCTCTATATCACATTCCTACACAACCTTCATAAACATGATCCGAGCCGTCATGCCATCCTGTCTCCGAGGCAGATATAGTTTCAATGAACAAATATTTAGAGGTAATTTATTTGACTTTTACTGGTTTCGTTCATTTTGTTGTAAAACATTGTACACGTGATACAGATATCGACATATTGTTCATATACATACAATAGGATAAAAACAAAATAAAAGTATGAGCGTCAGGCCTCTGTGCTGTGGTTTGAATGAGTTAGTTTTGGTCTGTCGTTGTTATAAACAAGTAACAGTTTCCTGAGATACCGGACACAGACCACTTAGATAGTTTTCTTATATCCTAAATATTTTGCGTTGAGTCAATGAAACACACATCATCTCTGGCTTTCCTTGTGACAACGAACATGTTTAAGGTTTTGCCTCTGTTGCTTGTTTTTACCGGAATTGTATGTGCTTTCCAAGATGTTGTATTTCCCAAAGATGATGTGGGAAAGTCAGAGAATCTCACGACAAGATATCAGGAAAAGCCTCCCGGAACAACGTCACACGTTCGTTTAGAACTTTATACGAACAGATGGAAAACACGTCCCGAGAGGGCAGCTGTGTCGCCGTCTGTGCAGGAATGTCCAACAAGTAAGATTCTTAGACTTTTCTAACTCTTACAACCCTTAGTTTTAGTTGTAAAACACAACATATAATAACAATAATAATTCGAGGTTCCTTATATACCGCTTTATAACAACCTAGTTTGTAGGTCGTCTCAAAGCGGTTCACAAATTAGTATCTGTGGTTATAGGGCCTTTACAACCAGCCAATATCTTTTTCAACTCACTGGGGAGCATACGGCCGGTGCTGCCACGTCGGCGCTCACAGCTAACATTCTACAATTCAAGCACTGGCCAACCACGTACATTGTATTCATTTACAGCTGAGTAGACTGGAACAATCGGAGCAAAGTATCTTGTTCAAAGATACAACACAGTGACGTGACGTGACTCGAACCCGCAACCCTTCGATCACGAAACCGGCGTCCTACCACTAGACTAATCTCGATTCGGTATTGCTTTACTGTTATTCTTTTGAAATACGTTCCCTGGTCAAGCACAAAACATAAATTAATGACGAATCCAAGTGTTGAAAGCATGCACGAACTGTCAATATTGGTTTGATACTAATGTAACTGTTAAATGCTTAATCGGAGTAAACAGTGAATTATCCATGCCGTGATATATTAAAAGATTTATTCATTAGTTGTATAAATGTGATAAACATAGTTTTACAGTTGCATCAAAGCGTATTTTGTAATGGTTTTATAATTTCTGCATGAAGTATGTAATTGTTAGCTAATCTGACCAAAATTGATGACAATCGCTTTTAACAGCGTCCTGTTCGAGTAAAACACAAACAAACATGAATTCAGAAAATGTATCGGCCGTATCGTTATTACAAAATGACACAGTTATTCAGAAAGCGGAAATGTTGTTCGATTTTTAATGTCTTGTTTTAAATATTACAATTACTTGAAATTTAGTTACTAATTTTTTGCTGACACACACTGGGATAAAGTAGACTTTGAAAGCGTAAGAATAACTATTTACATATAACTAATCAGTATTATATAAACAACCTTTCTAACAAAAGAGAAGGAACATACTGGTATTTACAACATAGCATGATACTATGTATATATTTGCAATTGGGAGAGAACTGCTTGTATAGATCAAATTGAGTTTTTACAGGTAAACAGGCTATATGTCAATGCAATTATTTCGTCTGTAGACATCACTGTTAAACAACAACCTGCTAGACAGATGTAAATGATGTCGTGTGTAGAAATGACTGTTAAACAACAACCTGCTAGAGAGATGTAAATGATGTCGTGTGTAGAAATGACTGTTAAACAACACCCTGCTATAGAGATATATATGATGTCGTGTGTAGAAATGACTGTTAAACAACACCCTGCTAGAGAGATGTAAATGATGTCGTGTGTAGAAATGACTGTTAAACAACACCCTGCTATAGAGATATATATGATGTTGACTGTTAAACAACACTCTGCTAGAGAGATGTAAATAATGTCGTCTGAAGAAATGACTGCTAAACAACACCCTGCTAAAGAGATTTAAATAATGTCGTCTGAAGAAATGAATGTTAAACAAAACCCTGCTAGAGAGATGTAATGATGTCGTGTGTAGAAATGCTTGCTAAACAACACTCTGCTAGAGAGATGTAAATGATGTCGTCTGTAAAAATGACTGTTAAACAACACCCTGCTAGAGAGATATAAATGATGTCGTGTGTAGAAATGACTGTTAAACAACACCCTGCTAGAGAGATATAAATGATGTCGTGTGTAGAAATGACTGTTAAACAACACCCTGCTATAGAGATATATATGATGTTGACTGTTAAACAACAATCTGCTAGAGAGATGTAAATAATGTCGTCTGAAGAAATGAATGTTAAACAAAACCCTGCTAGAGAGTTGTAATGATGTCGTGTGTAGAAATGATTGCTAAACAACACTCTGCTAGATAGATGTAAATGATGTCGTCTGTAAAAATGACTGTTAAACAACTCCCTGCTAGAGAGATGTAAATAATGTCGTGTGTAGAAATGACTGTTAAACAACACCCTGTTAGAGAGATATAAATAATGTCGTCTGAAAAAGGACTGCTAAACAACTCCCTGCTAGAGAGATGTAAATAGTGTCGTGTGTAGAAATGACTGTTAAACAACACCCTGTTAGAGAGATATAAATAATGTCGTCTGAAAAAGGACTGCTAAACAACACCCTGCTAGAGAGATGTAAATGATGTCGTCTGTAAAAAGGACTGTTAAACAACACCCTGCTAGAGAGATGTAAATGATGTCGTCTGTAAAAATGACTGTTAAACAACACCCTGCTAGAGAGATATACATGATGTTGACTGTTAAACAAATCCCTGCTAGAGAGATGTAAATACTATCGACTGTTAAAACAAATCCCTCCTAGAGAGATGTAAACAACACTCTGTTAGAGAGATATAAATTGTATCGTCTGTAGAAACGAATGTTAAACAAGATTCTGCTAGAGAGATGTTAATAATGTTCTATATAAAAATGACTGTTAATCAACACCCTGCTAGAAAGATGTAAATGATGATTATTATTTTTTTTGTCGACATCTGTTTTTTTCAAACGATTATTACTACAATACCTTGCACAGCTTTTTCTAGATGATGTTTCGTTTTCCTTTCTTTTTCTCAACTCTAGGAAAAGGAAAGAAGCAATTCTAAAGTAAATGAACTTATAAAAAAGGGTATTTGGAAAGGTTGATTAGTAGATATGTGTTTGTAGGTTATTCGTTTGAAGCATTCCCTTACTTATTAGTCCCCTAACGGAAAAACTGGGGGACGAAAGGTTTTGCCTGCATCCGTCCGTCTGCCCGTTCGTCCGTACGTCCGTCTGTCCGTCAATTCTCCATCCTTTACCTTTGGTAAAGGTTTTGGTATAAGTTTTTTGTAATGGCTTACCGTTCGCTTAATAATGATGTTAGGATGCTGATTCTTTGCAGAGAGATTTTGTAGGGTGGTAGCATTAATTATGTGGATTAAAAATGGTAAATATTGTTGTTGCTGTTCTTTTGGATTTTTTTACATGTTTTCGACTGAACTATCTTGGCCTAACGTTACAGGTTGAAGTTTGGGTTAAAGTTTCGTATTGGCTCACCGTTCACGTAATGATAGTGTTAGGATGCTGATTATATGCACAGAGGTTCTTTAGGGGTCTAGCATTAGTGAATGTTGTTTAGTGAAAATGGAAAAATAATTTAATTTCCTTTTTGAATTTTTGACATGTTTTTGACTAAACTATCTTGGCCAAAATCTGCAGGTTTAAGTTTGGGGGGCCGGTAGGGGACATATATTGATTCATCAATACCAACAGAATGGTTGTTTACCTCGTAATTCACGCGATTTATATTGTATGTCACCTATGTCACCAGCTGGCTAACTCTGCTGGTGGAATATCAGTCGCCAGGGTTGGTCATGATTTGAAAGTTGGAAATTATTTATCTGTTCTAACCAAAAAGTTATATATTTGTAACGTTATAAGGCTTTTCTAGACATCTTTCTCCTTTTTCATCAGAAGATTCCATGCCTGGAATGATATTCTTTAGACCTTTGTTTACCCTAATGAGTCATCCATGTACGAAATTCCCATGTGGTACATTTAATGTTTTTCTTGTGTTTGGCTTTCCGCATCGACCTTTTTATTATTGCACTCTTACCTAAAGGGAATTTCGGTGGGTTTTTTAAATATTTTAAGCAACATTTGATAGTTTGTCATATATTGTAAGCTGTGGGGTCTGTTTGCCCAGGTGTTATTTATCTGGATAAAGTCGCCTTAGATGATATCCAAATTATATTTCTTGTACATTTTACTTTTAGTCTGGTGTCTTCTTCTTTGTAAACATGACCATGGTTGTTTCCAATTTATGTACAAGATAGTCTGTATAGTGTACACTATTATTGCGTTGGTTTGTCAGTCTGTTCGATAAGTAAGGTATTTCCTGCAATATCTGGTAAGTGGTACTTTGTCTTTTACTTGGATTTTCCAGTTATGGTATGGCTGTTTCGCTATTAATTGTGTTTGAGGTTCAACTCTCTGCTTTCATATGTATATGATCGTGAACTTCGTGGTTCAGTCCCCCAAACAAAGTGGGAAACTTGTTGGTTTTACTCCGTTTCTTCTTTTTTTCCTTCTTCTTCGTCTTCTTCTTCTTCTCGTTCTTCCGCCGTAACATTTTGTCCACGCTTTTTCTCAGATTGTTTGATTCCAATAAAAATTCACATGAGTATTGGGACGTGTGCCTAGATGGGCAAACCAACTTTTTTCACAGCTGCACATCCAAGATTGCCGCCACTGCCTCTGATTGGTCGAAATTAAATATTGGTAGATTTTGCTCAAATGGTATGATGGTGTATTTTTTCATCTTTGTGACTATGGAGGCAGCTTCGGGGCCTTACGTAATGGTCCCCCATTACAATTAGTACTTGTTACCTATTGTTTTCATGAAATAAATACATCTCCGAAAAAAAACTTTATTTCTTAAGAATTTATAATATGATATTATTAATTTCCCTTTTTCATTAGAAAGGGGGAGTCTTCATTACGATGAGCGTCACAAATGTCCAGCCATCTTCTGTCAGCATGTGAGCTACAGGTGTGACGCACAAAGGTCAGGGCAGGAAACAGGAATCGATTATGGTGAGTTCATACACTGTTACTCCGCTGGACATGTAGGACATTTATAAAGATATGTAGATAATCATAAAATTAAAATATTGATAATATAATTATTTAAAGTGTAAATATAAATAAAGCATCACATAAACATTGTATGAATTGATTAGAATATTACTTTTTCTTAGTATATTACCATCAGGTCATGCTATTCTAAAAGGTTTTCATGTTATCTACAATGTACATTATTCTTGCTATAATTAATTGGTTTTGTTTCAGAACTACACAACTGCACTGGGACCCATCGTTGCTCATATGAGAGGAACATTCCGGAAAACAATATTCCGATATCACAAGTTTGTGATGGAGTCAGTCAGTGCCCTGGCTCTAACGACGACGAGTTTTCGTGTGCCAAGCCTTGTCAGCCATTTTGTATGTGTATTGGTTTAACGATCAACTGTAGTAACAAACCCCAGAGTTGTGGACGTTTTACTTTCGAGAACAATTCAATTGTCACCAAAAAGGGAGATCGTCTTTATCCTCAGTTGTCCTACCTGAGTTATCTAGTGATAACTGATTTATTAAATTTTGATGGTATTTTCGTCACTGGATTAAATAACTTAAAGTTTCTAGATTTATCCAATAACAAATTATCTACTCTTACTGGTAAAGTTTTCAGTGGACTGGCTGTTCTAGATACCCTCGATCTGGCCTTCAATCAAATACAGGTTCTCCCCGATTATGTCTTCAAAGGACTGCCTGTACTTACCAATTTAAGGCTATGCAACAATCAACTGTATGTTTTTTCCGATAAAGTGTTCAGTGGGCTGCCTCTACTTCATTTACTCGATCTTTCAAACAACCAAATAGAGGTACTTCCGGATACTCTCTTCAATGGACTGCCTGCACTTACTTTATTGTCTATGGAAAACAACAAAATAACAGCTCTCCCCGAGGATGTTTTCAATGAACTGTCAATTCTTGATAGCCTCAGCTTGTCACACAATCAAATAACGGTACTTTCCGAGCATGTGTTTAGTGGACTTTCTGCACTACTCCAACTGTTTCTATCACACAATCAAATTACATTTCTTCCCAGTAAAGTGTTCTGTGGACTGTCTCTACTAATAAGACTTGATCTATCAAACAATAAAATAGTGGTTCTTCCCGACAATATTTTTAGCGGTTTATCTGAACTTTCCACAATAGACCTTGCGAACAATTTGTTACTAGTTCTGCCAGGTACTGTCTTCAGTGGACTTTCTAACCTCGTCGATCTGAATCTGTCTAACAATAAGATCACGTTCCTCCCCAAGAATGTGTTTAGCTACGACACACTCGCACTCAGGTTTCTCCGGATACGCGACAATAATTTGTCTGTTCTGCCTTTGGTACCTTTCTCCCTTGAAGTTCTCGACATTAAAAACAACCTAATTACACATTTACCAGGCGGAACATTCACAAATAATAGTAAACTCTCTATTTTGAATATAATAGGTAACAATCTGGATGTTAATGATTATCTGTTTGAAGGACTAGATAATCTAACACTTTTACTGACGGATACTCCCTTCATGTGTTGTGCTAAACCGAAATCAGTAACCGACGATAAATGTTTAAGTACTTCAGCCGATGTATTTCTGTGCTGGCGTGGACATGGTACATGTAGATCAGAAAACGATGCGATATCGTCATGTCACGCGTTGATTGGTTCGAATATACTTCGAGTATTTCTCTGGTTAATTGGAATGTGTGCACTAATAGGGAACGTTGCGGTCATCTGTTACAGATTATCTTTTGATAGAAACAATATTACAAAGAGTTATTCAATCTTTATACTCAACCTTGGATTATCAGATTTACTCATGGGTATCTACTTGATGATAATAGGCGTTGTTGATGCATACTTCAATGGTGTGTACGCATGGAATGATCAGAAATGGAGAAGAAGCGTTCTATGCACCACAGCTGGGATTCTCTCCAGTATATCTAGTGAGATGTCTACGTTTTTGATACTACTCGTGACAGTAGACAGACTAATTGTCATAGTGTTCCCCATGGCCCGCCATTACCAGAGAAACATTTCGGCGAAACAGGCCTCCATTATCTCCGGGTTCCTGTGGTTGGTTTCTATCACAATTGCAGCCATCCCTATCATTTCTTTGCAGTCCTATTTCAAGGGGGAATTCTATTCCCAGTCAGGGGTTTGTCTCGCCTTGCCACTGACAACTGCAGAGCAACCAGGAGCGGAGTATTCCTTTGCGATGTTCGTTTGCCTCAACAGTTTCATCTTCGTTGTCATAGTCATTTGTCAAATTTGCATTTTCATAAACATGAGAATAAGCGGTGGTAACATTACGTCATCACAGACTCGCAAACGAGATATGAATGTAGCAAAGACACTCTTCTTTGTGGTGGCAACGGACTTCTGCTGCTGGTTTCCTATCGGAGTGTTAGGTACGTGGTAATCAAACAGTTGATAACTCGGCGTTTATCCAGTTACTAAAATATTATCTAATCAATTAGTTTGGAATCATCAAAAAACTTAATAACCTCTATTTTACACCAATCAAATGATGATCTCCTGTCATGTGACTATTGCCTGTACTTACTCACCTCCATATATACAATACGTGATACTGGTTCTCTTCGTTAAAGGAAAATATTGTTTTGACCACTTCTCTTTTTACAGAGTCAGTTAGCGTTTCTATCCGATCACGATTTTAGTAAACTATCATGGCCGACAAAAGCTGGACAAAGTGAATAGATTTTTCATATCATTGTGTACAATGCTGTACCCTTAAAAAGGTACAGAAAGGGTGGTACATAAAGATATGAAAGCATTGGGATTTCGTTATCAGACAACGTGACCTGAAATAACCCTCGGTAATAAAATACCTAATCACAATGCCGAAACAGCGATCGGAGAGCAATAATCACTTCTGAAGAAGATCTGAGTTTGCTTCACTTCTGATTATGCTTGGGCCTTAATAGTGTTTTCTACTAGATTTTTCGTCTGTATAATATCTTGTTTATTGATTGTATGCTCATAAAATAACAGTTTATAATCCAAAATGAAATGCAAAGTAGTATAGTATATATAGTAGGCGTACGCGTATTGTCCGTATTTATGTATTGTATAGATCAATTGTTCACTACATCGAGCCCATCGGAGTTTTGAGTTAATAATAATCATTTATATTAATTGAATAGGCTATATCAATTAATTCAACAATCATGATTGCCACTGATGCTGGGTGTAATGAGAATTTGACACCTTCTACGAGATAAAATACTCCGTGTATGTGATAACAGCCTTATCAAACGGTAATTTGTCACACTGGAAAACATTTAAGAAACATACAAAAGCAAAGTTTTGATAACAACTTTCCTTTCATATCGTTGTGGATCAACCATGGTACACATTTATATGGTTTATTATCTTTTTGTGTACAAAAGAAAAATGTACCATGGTACACACTTATATGTTTTATTATTTTATTGTGTATCAAAGAAGAGTGTACCATGGTACACATTGATATGGTTTATTATATTATTTTGTACCAAAGAAATGTGTACCATGGTAAACAATGATATGAAAAATCAATTCATTTTGTCCGGCTCTTGTTGGCCACCGTAGTAAACTATACTGACTGCCGCTATCTTACAAAAAACATTAAGAAAACTGTTCTGTCACATTTTCAGAACATTTTCTGTGCCTACTGCCTCTGTTTTTACAAAAACAGAAACAGGAGCAATTAACATGTGACGTTTTCCAGGTGTTGCGACAAAATACGGAGTCCAAGTTCCCAATGGAGTGTATGCGTGGGTGATGGTGTTTGTACTGCCAGTGAATGCCGCTGTCAATCCCCTGCTGTACACTGTCTCAGAGGTCTGGAGGAGGAGACGAAGGGTAAATCAGTCCAGTTCAAGTCATCCTTGGTGTAATGTATTAGATACCACTCAACTGCTAACAAAATAATTTATCATTTATTTATTTAAGTAATGGGGGAACGTTGTTGTGGATTGAGGGGGGATTAAGTACATACATGTACAGAAAGAAAACTGTATGCTATTTGCATAAATCTGAGTAGCGGTTTAAGCGACAAAAAACCTGTTTTCTGTTCTATTAACACCATCAGCAGCGACAACAAACACATAACATAGAGATACATGTAGCTATTGTTCTTGTTTACAAATCAGAATCCTCGTCTAAATGGTAAATGGTTTCTTTACCATTAACAGAACTGTAAGTGGAATATTTCCCGCAAAAGATGATTGATTTTATATAAAAGTTCTACAATAGATTCATCTTTGAACTTTATTTTTGATTTGAATATGATTGACTTCGCAAATATGATATATCGAATGTCAGTCTTATTAAGAAAATGTTTAAATACAATACAAACAGACTTTGCTTTCTGCTTGCTCAGACTTCAAAACGGACAAATTTTATTTACGTTGTAATTCACCGTCTATACACTGCTTCTTACAGAAACTGTCTTGAGTTCACACTTTTATAATCTCCTTATTTACAGGCACTAAGGTCCACAAATATGACGCCAACACCACTCCCATAGCTTCTGCGAGCCGCCGTTATTGCAACTTAAACGTCCGTATGAAACTCATGGGAAAGTATTTTCAGTTGTTTGGCGGAGCTACAAAGAATATCAGTGTATCACGTGATAAACTATACTCAGGATATTGGTGTATCACGTGATAAACTATACAAAGGATATCGGTGTTTACGTAATAAACTATACAAAGTAGATAGGTGAATATCGTGATAAACTATACAATAGAGATCGGTGTTTCATGTGATAAACTATACCCAGGATATCGGTGTATCACGTGATAAACTATACAATAGAGATCGGTGTTTCATGTGATAAACTATACCCAGGATATCGGTGTATCACGTGATAAACTATACAAAGGATATCGGTGTTTCATGTGATAAACTATACAAAGTAGATAGGTGAATCACGTGATAAACTATACAAAGGATATCGCTGTATCATGTGATAAACTATACAAAGGATATCGGTGTTTCATGTGATAAACTAAACAAAGTAGATAGTTGAATCACGTGAAACTATACAAAGGATATCGATGTGTCATGTGATAAACTATACAATGGAGATCGGTGTTTCATGTGATAAACTATACAAAGGATATCTGTGTATCATGTTATAAACTATACAAAGGAGATCGGTGAATCACGTGGTAATTTTCATAAAGGAGATAGGTGTATCAAATGATACAAAGGAGATTGCTGTAATTTACTGTGTCATCCTTACAAGGATCAACTATTTCCAGACATTTGATTATGGTGTTTTATATAGTTAAATATTTCCGGACGTTTGATTATTGTGCTTTGAATAGTAAAATAGTTCCGGGCGTTTGATTATTGTTTTTTGTATAGTGAAAGATTTCGGGGCGTTTGATTATTGTGGTTTGTACAGTGAAATATTTCCGGACGTTTGATTATTGTGGTTTGTACAGTGAAATATTTCCGCGCGTTTGATTATTGTTCTTTGAATAGTAAAATCGTTCCGGGCGTTTGATTACTGTGTTTTGTATAGTGGGATATTTCCGGGCGTTTGATTAATGTGTTTTGTATAGTGGGATATTTCCGGGCGTTTGTTTATTGTGCTTTGAATAGTTAAATATTTCCGGGCGTTTGATTAATGTGTTTTGGATAGTGAAATATTTCCGCGCGTTTGATTATTGTGATTTGTATAGTGAAATATTTCCGCGCGTTTGATTATTGTGCTTTGGATAGTAAAATAGTTCAGGGCGTTTGATTATTGTTTTTTGTATAGTGAAAGATTTCGGGGCGTTTGATTATTGCGCTTTGTATAGCGAAATATTTCCGGGCGTTTACTTATTGTGTTTTGTACAGTTAAATATTTCCGGGCGTTTACTTATTGTGTTTTGTATAGTGGGATATTTCCGGGCGTTTGATTATTGTGTTTTGTATAGTGAAATATTTTCGGGCGTTTGATTATTGTGTTTTGTACAGTGAAATATTTCCGGGCGTTTGATTATTGTGTTTTGTATAGAGAAATATTTCCGGGCGTTTGATTATTGTGTTTTGTATATTTCCGGGCTTTTGATTATTGTGTTTTGTATAGTGAAATATTTCCGGGCGTTTGATTATTGTGTTTTGTATAATGAAATATTTCTGGACGTCTGATTGTTGTGTTTTGTTTAGTTAAACATTTCCGGGCGTTTGATTATTGTGCTTTGAATAGTTAGATGTTTCCGGGCGTTTGATTATTGTGTTTTGAATAGTTAAACATTTCTGGGCGTTTGATTATTGTGCTTTGAATAGTTAAATATTTCCGGGCGTCCAGTTAAGGTACTTTGTATTGTAATAACCTTTCCGCCAGATACTATATAAATTCAGAGTAACATCTGGAGGACGCTTCTAGCTATCTACTTAACTTAAGTTAATAATATTATTAACTTTAATTACTTAATACTGTCTAAATATTGTAGTACATCCGTGTATATGTGGACGTGAATTAATATACAAAACGCTCTTGTGGCGAAGCTAACTGAATATTTAAATGAAAAAAAAAAATGAATTCCTCCTGTTTATCTGTCGTAATACTAAGTAGTAAGCTGTCTCCATTTGGTCATGAGGAAGTTCTCGAGAGTAGACTAAAATCATCCGTATATGCGATCAAAAAGAATATTTGATTTAAATACATAATAATAATGATAATAACAATGTCTTACAAATGCTTGCCATTTTAAAATAAGAAAATTGCATATTTTTTTTCCGAATATAGGCAAGGTATCATTTGTAAACCAATGATATATCACTGATATTTAACAATATGTATATACGTTTGTGAACTTGTATGAACGTCACGATTGTTGCTATTTTGTAAATAATGTATTATTCATGTTTTATCATTGTTATCATGCTCTTCAATTTGGAGGAAATAAAGATGATATATACGATCAATGTGGTCAATGGATTTCTTGTTATTTAAATATTCACGTCGTCGATACATCAGAACTTGAAATTGAAAGACCTTGCCAGGTTTTTGTTTCCACTTCTGTTAAGCTTATCAAGAAATTTCTCTCCGTTTGAGAAATAAAACAAATCGGTTAAAGAGAGGCACTTTTGATTCCCACAGAAAGTCTAACGTCTGCTAGAAAATCTTATCACCAAATTCTACAAAGATACTGTTATCTAGTAACTCAATCATTCCCACGATTTCCTACTCAATGTGGTTCATTTTGACCTTTATTATGCTTTTCACAAATGTGCTCCAAAATGAAAGTTGACGCAAAAATTTGATGTTGTTCGGCGTAATGGTAACACATACATAATTAATTTTCATCACAGTCTCGGCCATTGATAAAACATTAATGAATGCATGAGGTAATATTATACTGAAATTTTGTTGGATTATCATTCTCACAATTACAATCGTCTAACAAAGACCAAACACATTAAGGACACATGATAGGTCACACAGCTAATGTTTATAGTACTGACTATTAGATCCTAAGCCTGTAAACCTATGATCATGTATATGTCAACATTAATACATCAATACATGAAATGAAAAAAATGTATTTATCAAATATCAGAAAACAGCAGTAATGCGACGTATCATGGTATGCAGTCTCCTTGTCAAGTATTGTGGCTACTAATTTCAACCTTATTTTAATGCATTGATATTTTCATTATTACACTTTTAAAATATAATAGATATTTAATAATATTCCCGTTGAGAACCGGATATGTTCAATATGCAAGTTTACTAATGTGTTAACTCCAGTTTATAATGTTGTTTACCTCAGTCCAGAAAACTGAAAGTATTGTTTCTTATAAACAGATTTTGTTCATGAGATATATTAAGATGACCAAGAACCTAAGACATAGGACCTATGGAAAGAAATTAGGAAAGAAACAGTTTAAAAAAAGTATATATACCATTGATTAAATTCAATATATATTTTTTCTCGGATAACTGTGTTTTGTGTTTTAACCGGATATACAGTACAAGGAATGGAAACAAGACGAATTGTACACTAGTTCTGATTGATATATTAAAATCCGTACGATCTAGGCAAATGAAACTTTCACGTTGATCAGCACACAGAATAAATGTCTGACAAGATAGATGCAGGTAAATAAGTACACAGAACAACTGTCTAAAAGATGGTATACAGGTAATCATTACATAGACCAACTGTCTGACCAGATAGCTCTAGGTTCACGAGTACACACACAAACTGTCTGACCAGATAGTAAACATGTACATGTACATCAGTAGACAGACTAACTGTGTGTCCATATGGTATACAGGTATATCAGTACACAGACCAACTGTTTGACCAGATGGTGTACCTGTACATTAGCACACAGAACAACTGTCTGACCAGATAGTAAACAGGTGCATCAGTATACAGAACAACTGTCGGACCAGATGGTATACAAGTTCATCAGCACACAGACCAACTTTCTGACCAGATGGTATACAGGTTCATCAGTACACAGAACAGCTGTCTGACCAGATGATATACAGGCTTATCAGCACACAGAATAACTGTCTGACCAAATGGTATACATGTACATCAGTACACACAACAACTGTCTGACCAGATAGGTACATCAGTACACACAACAACTGTCTGACCAGCTGGTATACAGGTACGAATATATACAGATCATCTGTCTGACCAGATAGATACTGGTTCAAAAGGACACAGACCAACTGTCTGACCAAATGGTATACAGGTTCATCAGCACACAGACCAACTGTCTGACCAGATAGCACACAGGTACATCAGTACACACAACAACTGTCTGACCAGATAGCACACAGGTACATCAGTACACAGACCAACTGTCTGCCCAGATGGTATACAGGTTCATCAGCACACAGACCAACTTTCTGCCCAGATGGTATACAGGTATATAAGTATACAGAATAACTGTCTGAGCAAATGGTATACAGGTACATCTCGGACCAGATGGTATACAAGTACATCAGCACACAGAATAACTGTCTGACCAAATGGTATACAGGTACTGATGTACCTGTATGCCATCTGGTCAGAAAGTTGGTCTGTGGGCTGATGAACTTGTATACAATCTGGTCCGACAGTTGTTCTGCATACTGATGCACCTGTTTACTATCTGGTCAGACAATTGGTCTGTCTACGTATGGACCTGTATACCATCTGGACCAGATGGTATACAGGTTCATCAGTACACAGAACAACTGTCTGACCAGATGATATACAGGTTTATCAGCACACAGAATAACTGTCTGACCAAATGGTATACAGGTACATCAGTACACACACCAACAGTTTGACCAGATTGTATACAGGTACATTAGTACACAGACCAACTGTCTGACCAGATGGTATACAGGTACATCAGTACACACACCAAGTGTTTAACCAGATGGTATACAGGTTCATCAGAACACAGACCAACTTTCTGACCAGATGGTATACAGGTTTATCAGCACACAGAACAACTCTCAGACCAGATGGTATACGGGTACATCAGTACACAGACCAACTGTCTGACCAGATGGTATACAGGTACATCAGTACACACACCAACTGTTTAATCAGATGGTATAG